CATCGGGCTGTGGTCATGTCGAACTGAATAAATTTCAGGGCATATGCCCCACTTCAGCGCTAACATAGGAGAAGGACATTACCATTATAATAAACTTATAGAACAATTGTATTTGTAGTTAGTTTTAAACAAAATTTACCTTGACTCATTTATTGGGCAGGTAGAGCGCTGATTCGCCACTTTCCGTTATACCTGATCACCCACTGCCCAAACATCCCGCTGTCACCAACAGCCGCGGAACAACCTGGACATGGGCTCCAACTCGACCTCCAACACTCTTGTCTCGACAAATGGTTGGTTGCAGTCAAGGATCTTCAGACACCCCTCCTCTAGATGCCAGCGACTGCTATCCATGCATTTTTTTTGACGGTAGATCAGTACACTCTTTTAACAAAGGCCAACCGCTGGCTATTTTGGCCATCCCCCCTTATCGTACTGCAATCCTATCATCAAACCGAAATCATCAGGATGCAATCCGACTCTGGTGCAGCCAATCGTTTTTGCTTCGGTCCTTTTGCTACACCACTAGCAACGGCATTTTTAATTAAGACCGATATGCCGAAACAAGCGTTTGCCCAAACGCCACATCGGTGATAGCACAGTCAGGATACAACAGATCACCATCACTAGTCTGTCGTAGCCTCATCAGCGCCAATATCTCACGCGATGTGCTACATCACATAAAAACAACAATAAGTATGGAAAACCACAGGAAAAATAAGGAAAATTAAGTGAACATAACTCACCGAGTCCTCAAGCCACGTCCCCATCGTCAACAACTTCTGAAACCATTCCGGGGATAATCCCCTGTCTTACACTATTATGGCCATCAATTCCCGATCCATTGTAATAGGCTAAAAGAGTTTTTTCCTTTCCCTATTGGCCTATACAAATCGACATCTTTGAGTCCATTTCCCTTCCCCACTTCCCTCCCCCTTCCTCCCATTTTACATCCCCGCTCTTTCGCCTCCCAACTCCCCCTCCTCCATTATACCCACCTGCCACCACTTCCACACCAACCTCCTCAACCTCCTCCCTTTCTGTTTTCCTCCATTTTGTTTCTTCATTTTCTTCTTCTTTACCTGTGTCACCTACCATGTAAGGTGATTTCACAAACGTCTCTTTCGGCTCTCTCTTTCAAGCCAGTTTGCACTTCAACCGCCTTTAATTCTCCACCAACTTCCTCCTCCATTGTACCAACTCGCCTCCTTCTAGCTACTTCCCTCCCACCTTATCCACTTTCTTCTCCACCTTTTCATTGTTCTTCCCATCTTCTCAAGCTTGCATAAACGCTGTTGTAAAACTCTCAAACAGGCCGTTGATGAGGTCAACAACCTCATTCTCCCACGCCGATGTCTCGGCAAAGCGGTACTTGTTGTACGGTTTGCTGAGGCATACGAACCTCTTCCTCCCTCTTCTCCTCTCATCTCCTCGGCCCCCGAGCTTCATTATCCTCAGCATCAACGACATTGTCAAGCATGGCCCTGCAACTGCCATCACATGCGTCCCCTTTTAGGTCCCGCATCAGGCGGTCTATCTGTTCATCCTTTCATCCTCCATTGCTTTGAAGATGTGACATAGTCCTCTTCCGCTTCATCCCAATAGGGTCAAAAGGGACGGACGACTCCCTGCAATAAGAAAAAAAATCATCAGATTGAAGCACAATAAAAAGCAACTGCATATTCAAAGCTTAATCCTTCAATCTTACCCCAGCTGCTTGAATCTCAATCTCTAATTGGCCAATATCCCAGGGTTACAGCTCTCGACATCCACCGCAACATCCTAGGAAATCGCTGTTGCACATTCACATTCTTGCTCCTCCCCCCGCCTTGGCGAAGACAGGGATGGCCTCGTACACCAAGCCTACTTGTAAAAAAACAGTCCTGTCATTATTCAAACACACATATTATAAAATATACATAGATAGATTATATTTTACCTGCATTGCCCATGGGAAGCCAACAAATTATACGTGCTTGTTTTTAGCCTTCCCGCCCCATTCCATGCTTTAACGCCATGTCTGGTTTTTTCAGGCTCTTGATGGTTCGCTCATTGATATCCGTCCCCACGGATAAGAATTAAGAACTCCAAGTCGCTTACAACAGCAACCAATCTTTCTCAATAGCTTTGTTAGTCACCAGCCAATAAGAGAATGCAAAAACAATATCAAGCACACTTTTATCTTCTCTGCATCACTAACCACACTGTATAGCCTTTTCTCTAAAACTTTTCCTGTAATAGACTTTCCCCTTTCAAAACCTTTTTACAAGTTATGGCTCCCGCACTCTTCCTTACCTGCTCTGCCTCGCCTTAGTTCCCTTCCCGCATCCTAAGCCCGTCACCCAACGCATACTCCACATCCAAACCGTAGTGGCTTTCCCTCCACCACGAACCACATTTCATTTTTTTTCTTGCTTTTTACTGAGTGCATCAACATGTAATGCACTCCCTCCCCAAAATGACTTTTTCCACTTTTTTCCAATTCTTAAAAACTGACCGAAACAAGTGTCACCAAAATCTCTTTCACCATGCCTCATTCTAGCTAAAATGCCCTTATTTCTGTCAAAAACCCTCCAGCTCGACCCTCACCGTCACCCTTGCAGGGAAGTAGGGTACCTTCTCACTATAGGCTCCAACTCGTACTCTCTCACCTTACGGTCCGCACAATCTGCACAATTGATATAAAAAACAAAAAAAAATCAAAAATAAACCAACCATTGTAGTCTCTTAGCGATCATGGGATCGCTTAAGAGATCTTTACTGTCTCATGCAAGATCGCTAAGCGATCAAAAGTTAACCTGAGAATATCTTAATCTGTGATTCTGCCCAGACCTAAGATCGCTTAAGCCACCAAGAGTAAACACTCATGACTCTTAAGCGATCATTGCTGCGATCACGAGTAAAACCGAATAATCGCTTAAGCGATACTAATGATCGCTTAAGCGAAATTACAGCAACATCCCAAACTACTACCCTATCTCGCCGCCTTCTCCTCGTCGCCTGGATCCTCCGCGACTCCTCCTCCGCCCTGAATTATCGCCGGAATCCACCTCCTGGCCTGCATTCTCTCGGAATCCTCCTTCTGGCCTGGTCTCGCCTGACTCCTCGTCTTCAGACCCCTGTGCTGGTTCTTCACTCTCTTCTTGTGGCCGCCGGCGTCTCCTCTACGTGTCGACCACCTTCAATGGTCAGATGATCGACCGGAGCAGCCATTGAACTGCTTGAGCCACCGGAATCTAGGATTCGAAGTGGCGTTGGGTTGCGCGTCAGTGTAGTGTCAGCCATGGTTTTGGATTGAATTGGTGTGAAAATTTAGTTTGGATGGATATGGGCTGTATCGCCGGAAATCCGCGCAGATTCCGTTTATAGTTAAGAAATCGTTCTTAGGGTTCAACAAATCGATCGAAAATCGCGACTATATCGCCGAAAATCGCGACTGTATCGGTTTAGGGTTCAAGAAATTGATTAGGGTGCAAATCAATGGTGTTGGATCGGAAAAAATCGCGTCTCCCTTTCATTCAAGAAATCGCGTTTTCAACTGATGAATTTCGATTAAGCGACGTGAATAGAGTGTTGGGGCTTGTTTGGCGAATTTTCAAATTTTGTTTTTTTTTTTGTTGAAAACTTTCACTATTTCTGATTCGGCCCACATATGTTTTAATCTTTTCATTTTAACCCATTTTACGTGTTTAATTAATCCTAACTATGCCACGTCATCTTCTCTAAATTATAAAATATTTTATGAACAGTATCAAGGCCATTTTCTTAAATGCAGACTTGGGGGGACCGGGCAGCTAAATTTTCTCGAGCTGCTACAGAGTAGAGCTGCTGAGACTTCTGTTTGAGGTGGTGATGGTGTGCCATTGTTCTTCTCTCTGCCACTGCTTTACTTCACTCTTTCTCAGCTTTCAACCTCATTATTCTCCTGTTTGCTCTTCACTTGAAGCTTTTCTTTCTTCATTTTCCCATTTCGAGCTAGAGATTGCATCTTAAGCCGCAAAAAAGGTAAGCTTTTTGAAACCAGTTCTTCTTTTTAATGGATATTTTTTTTTTGTTATTTCAAGTTTCAATTTTTGGTTGTTTTAGGACTGCCATTGTCAATAGCTTTGGGGCATGGCAATACTTATCAGCCTTACGAAGAGGGCAAAAAAGTTATAAATTTTTTTTTTTCATTTTCTGTAGAATTTTCCTTGTAATCCTTAAATTTATGCTAATATTTGTCCAACTTTTTGCATAACTCAGTAGTTTACACTTAAATTTTGCCTGTGCAATATGTGCAGTTAATAAAAAAGTTTGTCAGAAATTTTTTATCTTCTAGATTGAAATATCATGTAGTGGGGAGAAGGTAAAGTTTGGACTAAGGTAGTTTGCAGTGACCTCTCTGAGGTTTGGGGAATGTTTAGCTGGACCATAAAGTTGTTGAATTGTAAGGAGACCTCCTTTCAAGGCCTTTTATTAATTATTAACAATGTAAATAAAAAATTGAGGGCTATTAAGATGATTTAAGATGACAGTTTTTCATTAATTAATGAACTTGAAGGGAGGTCTTTCTACATTAAAAAGCTTTAGGATCTATTAGACACTTTCCCCAAAGGATAGGGGAGGTCATTGTCAATACCTCAAACATGTAAAGCGCCAGTTTACATTGTTATGTACTCTGTAGTTGTGGTAGAATTCTAGTAATATAACTATCAGTTTTATTAAAACATCAAAATAGTAATGACATCCTGAACTTCTAAGATTATGCATTATTTGATGAAATGCATCTAATTCTTCTTCTTGCTTTACGATTCTTTTATACTATGGATATGATAACTAATGCAGCACTCTTGTTTCTCTTATGATATTATCTGCATCATTCATTTTATCTGGTAATGTTAACTAAAATGTTGACAAATCAATTACTATTTGAAAATTTGATGAAGTATTATTTTGTAATAAACAAGAAATATATCAAATTCAACTTATCTAACAATATAAAGTTCATTGTCGGTTTACAACAAATGCCGACTATTGAAATCATGAGGGATACCTCTGTATCCGGGAATGGTTCAAATGAAGAAGTTGAAATTGTCATTGCTTCACCTTATGGTCAATTGGCTGGTATGCGTAGATTTTATACAATATGTTACGTCTGTGCTATTGTGTCTCTTCAGATGGATTCTTTACCATGGGAAAATCTTTTAGCTTCATTGCCAATCACTTTGCCAACTTGGCAAGAAACTATTTTCCATATAAATAAGGCATGATATTAGCTACTATTTAATATAGATTGATAAAACTTGCTATTGTGCTATTGTGTATTTTTTTGGTGCATATTTTAAAGAATTAACAATTTTATTGATAAAACTTGTTATAAATCCTTCCACTTGACAGACAAGCAACCAAGAATTAGACACTTACAATTGTATCAAGCTGCACTAAGTGGTGATTGGAGCATAGCTGAGGGTATTTATAAGAAACATAAAAATGATATAAGAGCGAGGATATCAAAGGAAGGGGACACTGCTCTCCATATTGCAGCTGCAGCTGAGCAAACTGATTTTTTGAAAAACCTGGTGGATAATATAAATAAAGAGGATTTAGCTACTACAAATTATGCAGGCAATACAGCTTTTTGTCTTGCTGCTGTGTCTGGAAATGTGGAACTTGCTCAAGTGATGATGAATAAGATGAATAAAGAGGATTTAACTACAAAGAAAGGAGCTGGAAGAACAGCTTATTGTCTCTCTGCTGAGTCCCAGAGGGTGGAAGTTCCCAACATGATAGAGGAGAGTACAAACTTAGCTGATGTCCTGGAAAGGAGTAGAAACTTAGCAATGATCCGAGGTAGAAATGAGATGTTACCACTTTACGTGGCCGCTCTATTTGGCCATAAAGAGATGGTACAGTTCCTTTATGAAGCCACTGATGACGAATCATTATATGAAAATGACCGCATGGAATTGCTTATCACTCTAATAAGCAATGGTTTGTATGGTATGTAGAAGGTATTCTTTATATTTTGGCTAATTGTAGCGCACTTGGTATCTTTTAAATCAAATTTTATTATGTAAGATTGAAACCTTTGGTATAGGATTGAGATTCCATGTATGGTGGTCAGATTAATATACATTTTTTTTTTTAAAATGTCCCATTATTCTTTTAAGAAGCACTGTGAATTCCCATCATGAGACATACGATTTGACAAAACTAATGAACCCTTTCATAACACAAGTGGCTTGGTGAATACAAATCTGAAAATTTCCTTGTATGCAACTTAATTAATATAGTATTATGTATAGCAACTGCATGCTTCCACTATTTAGAATTGATACTATATCATCTCTAATGATGGTTGTTGTGTTCTCAGATGTTGCACTGGATTTGCTAGAGAAACACCCAAAGTTAGCCGTCACTTGTGATGGAAATGAGGAGACAGCATTGCTTGCCTTGGCTCGAATGCCTATTGCCTCTCAAATTCAGCAAGGATTTTGGAAACAATGTGTCAATTTGTGTTAGTCTCCTTTAATCTTTGACATATTCAGCATGCCTTAATATATAAGTTGCTGTTTTTGGTTTTATAGTTGAAATATATGTTTACATGACAATTGTGATTAGGAGCGCGAACAGGTATGAAAATTTGCACTTTAACCTTTCAGTTTTAATTTTTCCTTTTGTTTCAGGAACCATTTTTGCAAACCTGCTATTACTAAATATTTTCCTAGCAAGTTGAATTTGATATAACTTCACAATATATTCTTATACTTACCAGCACCTTTTGCCATAGAATCATTTGCAAGTGTGTTCTGACACTAAAGGATTTTTATAATATATTTTCAAACTGCTAATTTATCTTGATTATTGCAATATAGAATTTGTTCCGAACTTTTCACAAATAAAAATTTTGGCCATATGGCAGTTATGCAATACTGTGATTTCTTTTGTAGCATAATGAAGTGGTGGTGTTGTGGTTACTGTAGGTTACATTGTTGGACATTTTTATTGTGTGACTCGGTGTATTAATCAAATTCCGAATTTAACTCGACCATTACATATATAGTTAAGTATTGCCTAGAAAATGTTTCCCTTTCGAATTGTTTAGGTAGTAAATCTCCTATGTTCTTTTACTTATTTAGGATAAATTGAAATGACTTCTGTCATTGTTAACCAGCCTAAAGATTTATGTGCGCTGATGTTGGCTAATCAAATTTGTAGTTTCAGGTACCAACGCCAAGTTGCCTCCAAAAGCACTTGAACTAATCCGACGCCTTTGGGAACAAGTCATATTGTCAGATGACTCTGCAGTTTCAAATATTATTAAAACTGCCCGACAACTGATATTTGTTGCTGCAGAACTAGGAAACATTGAGTTTCTAACTATACTTATACGTGAGTATCCTGATTTGATACTGGAAGTTGATGAAAATAATTATAGCGTATTTCATTTTGCTGTTATGAATCGTCGTAGGGACATCTTCAAACTCATACATGAGATAGGTACTTTTAAGGATTTGATAGTTGCTTCCAAGGATAAAAAAGACAATAATATCTTGCATTTGGCTGGAATGTTGGCACCACCAGATCGGCTCAATGTTGTATCAGGAGCTGCTCTGCAACTGCAGCGAGAGTTGCTGTGGTTTAAGGTGAATGTTACAGTTCTCCTTTGTTTAGAAAGCAATATTCGTTACACCAACTGATAAGATCTTTTTACAACATTATTTGTAGGTGGTCAGTAAAATTATGCGTCCATTGGATGCCTGGGATAAAAACAGTGAAGGGAAAACTCCCAGAGCTTTATTTACTAAGGAGCACGGAGAATTAAAGGAAAAGGGAGAGAAATGGATGAAGGACACTGCAAACTATTGCATGATTGTGGCAACTCTTATTGCCACTGTGGTTTTTGCAGCAGCTTTCACTGTCCCAGGTGGCACCAAAGACGAGACAGGGACCCCTCATTTTGTTCAAAAAACTTCCTTCAAAATTTTTTTTATAGCAGATGCAGTTTCGCTAATATCTTCCGCATGCTCCATCTTAACCTTTTTATCAATTCTAACTTCCCGGTATGCAGAAGAAGATTTCCTCTCACAGTTACCAAAAAAGCTGGTTGCTGGACCTACAACACTTTTATTATCAATAGCAGCAATGATGGTAGTGTTTTGTGCAACTATTTTCATTGTTTTCAAAGATGGAGTGCTGTGGGTTCCTATTCTTGTTACTATAATCGCTTCTTTACCAGTCCTTTTGTTCACTAAGCAACAATGGCATCTCCTTTTTGATGTGGTGCGTTCTACATATGTGAGTAGCTCTCTTTTCCAGCCACACAAACGTACCCTTTTCTGCCAAGGCAAAGCAATGGAGTCGAAGAAGAGGAAGTAACTCAGTGTACTGAGCAATTAATGGTACTACACAAATTTTGAATCTAAGCTATTGTGATTTTTCTATTTGTCCATAATCTGATGCTGCAAATCTCTGGTCTTGTAACCCATTGAAATAATAGTTTGATTAAATTGAAATACTTGATTACAGGACTCACTTCATATATGCTACCATCCCTTCGTTATTTGTTGGAAATGCAAGTACAGGAGGGGAAGTAAATCAGAAGTTAATCATGCCCTGAGTACAGGAGTGTAGGTTAGTTTCACTCGCAATTTATTACATTTAAGCCTAATTTTAATAACAATAACACTCATTGAACAGTATTGTTTAATTTATCAAATCATGAAGAAATCTGAACATTTTAATCTTATATCTTAGTTCATCCAAATATAGAACCTCTAATAATGCTTCAAATCTGTAATCTGTCATATCAAGCTTGCTTTGTAAAACTAATGTTTGACACTGCTTTTCAATTGAAATCTGAACGGTGGCCTGGAGCGAAGTTCTTTCTGGGAATGACTTGGCGTCTGCCCTGGAAAACTAGGAATAAAAAAATCAGTTTAAGAGGAGATAAAGAGGACAAATTGTTGATGACACCTTGAAATTCTAAAATCTGGTTACGCCTGTCTTTGAAATATCGTACATTAATAAACAAGGCTGAATGACATTTTCCCTTCTAAGTTTGGCGAACCTTGTACTTTCATAAAAACTTGTTTCCCCTTATTGCCAATCTCCATCAATGGAGTCTGTTACGTGACGGGTAAAACTACGAACCATTAGGGTGCGTTTGATTTATTATTTTGGGTAGGATTTTGGGGATGGTATTGGGTTATTGGATATGGGAGTATTACAAGGTAAACTTTAAAAATTTATGAAAAAACCCTTAGGTTTACTAATTTAATTAAAGACCCTAATGTATAAAATAACAAAAACACCCCCACCACCTATAGTGCTAGATTCCGGCCACTACCGTCAGAATTTGGCTAGAAAATTTTATTACGACACAGACCGGTCGGATCTGTGCCGTAACGCGTCGTTATGACCTTTTCTGGGATCTACGAACTGCTGTGGCTGCGACGGTCGGAAAAGGCTAAAACGACGGCCATCTTTGGCCGTCAGCGACCGTAGATCTGGCCATTATCGGCTATTTTTGGTGGCTGTGTGACTATTGTGATAGATTCCGGCTATCACCGGCAGTGATTGCCGGAATCTGACAGGTATTGGTGGATGGGGGTGTTTTTGTTAGTTTTTAAACTTTTTTCTGGGGTGTATTTAATGAAATTAATAAACTTATAGGGTCTCAACGTAATTAAAAAATAGACTAATATTTTGGGAATAACGTGCCAAACAACATTTGAAAAATAGGATTAAGAATATAGATAAAAACAATAAGCCAAACGCGCCCAATATCCTTTATTATTTGACTTTATAGTTTTAAGGAGGTTGAATAACATTTTCCCCCCAAACTTTATTACACGTATTTTTCAACCTAGTTTCGTTTATATTAATTTTAGGGTTAATAAATTTAAAAAAAAAATTACTTTATGTAAAATTAAAAACAAATTCAAAAACTAAAATAAAGTAGTTGGTCAGAATAGGAAAGTACGATTCCAGTTAAATCAAACCTGGTCGAATGCGATTTAGGTCAAATCGCACTTGGCTAGGTGCAACTCAAGCCGAATCGCACCAAGCCTGTTGCAATTCCAATAAAATCACACTTGATCGGGTGCCAATCAATTGGAATTGCACCCAGCAAGGTGCAAATAAATGGGAATCACACAACTATTTTTTTTTTTTTTCAGTTTTTTTATATTTTTTTCAAATTTACATAGTTTTTTTAATTTTTCGATTTTTTTTAATTTTTCGAATTTTCTTCTATTTTACAATTTTTTATTTTTTATTTTTGGAAATTATATTTTTATATAATTTCATAAAATATATACAATTTTAATGAAATATTGTTTTGTAGTTTTATAAATATTTAATTGACAAATATCATTATAATTTTTAAAAATAATTTACACAATTTTAAAATTTCTTGTAATTATAAAAATTGAAGATAGGGGTTTAAATGACTAATTTTCAAGTTGGTGAAGGTGAAAGTGAAGGTGATTGTTATGTGTTTGTAATTTAGGGGTATAAGTAATATCAACCCCATAATATATATCATACGAACTTACAAGAATGCTCTTTTGCCGTTAAGGGTCTGCTTGAGAGTTTTTCTTCCACTGGTTTTAAGGGGTTTTTAATTAAACTGGTTTGAAGGTGTTTTTAAACCATTACTTGCCAGATTTTTTATGCATTGGTTTTGACTGGCTTAAAAACCCTCCAGAACCAGTGTAGTGTATTTTTTAGGGGTTTATAAAACACCCCAAATCTGGGTGTTTTGGTTGGTTTTAAAATTTTATTCCAAAAATACCCTATCCACTATAAAACTATCCCAATTACACAAAAAAAAAATTAACCATATTATACACGTCTTCAACCATATTAAATATAAAACAATTTTAAGCTATCATAAAATATATATATATTAAAATCTCATTTCTAGATGCATTCTTGGAGAAGTAGAGTCACAATTTTTCAATCATTCCAAATGCTGCAAAGAATGACAAAAAATGATAAAAAGACTTTATCATATTTGAAGTTATAAAATACTAATAAGTAGAAAACAAATAAAAAACTCTTACCTTATAATTGAAAAAACAAAACTCCAAAGTATTAATTAGAGTTAGAGTATTTTTATGAGCATATATGTATATTTATCATTTTAAAAAATTGTTAGAACCGCTAGAAAATAAACTCCCAAGCATAGGTTGGGTGTTTTAAAACCGCTACTAAAAACCCTTTAAAACCGCTACGATGGTTTACCCTCAAAACCGTTACAGTGGTTTACCCTCATAACCGCTATCATGAAACTCCCAAGCAGACCCTAAAAGTTTTAACCAACATCCAAATTTAACGATGGGTGGAAAATGTTTTTTTCAAAGTTTATGGGTGGCAGATGTTATTCAGCATGATAAACAACTCTGGAATAACTTTATTATGTCCCACATGTCAATTAAGGAATAATATTTATTATCATTTGGGAAACAATAACTGCAGGAAATGTCATTGAATGTGGTCCACTTCACTTGAGCTCTTCCTTTCTTCTACTTTACTGATTCCATCCTGCTGGTACCGAGGTAACTCTTTCGGCCCAGTTCTTCTTCTTCTTCTTCTTCGATTTGTGGAATGTTAAGTTAAACTCATTACTTAAGATAAATGATTGTGTTATTCTATAATATTCGTTCACAAATTGAATCCAAATTAAGCTAAATCTTCAAATAATTATTCTATATATGAAATCATTTTTTTTTTCCTCATCTTTCCTGGAATTGATCTAGAAAAGCCCTCCTGGAATCAAGTGGATCACTTAAAATGTAGAGCATTAATTAAAATGTTTCATCCATATGCTTTATTGTGACATTTAAATGGCTTAAATTGTAAAGGTTGAAGGAATATATGTTCGTATTCAAAAGTTTGTAAACTAGTACTTCTTAGATATATAATATATAGTATCATCCCAAAACAAAATAATAATAATAAGATAGTGTTCATATTATCCCACACAAATTCATTTTCTAATACTAACATCATAAGGTTCTTTGCAGATTTATCACTAATCAGGACTCCTGAAGGATAATGCTACACCAGGAAGTACCTCAACTGAAGAAAAAGTTGAGATTGTGATTGCTCCACCTTATAAGAAACTGGCTGGTACGTTTTGACATTGGAATGAATGCTAATATCTTCCTTTTCTGAATTCCCTTTTACAAATTTAATTTTTAAGGGCAAATGTCATATATGCTTCCTAAGTTTGTGTTAATTTCATATGGATTCCTTTCATGTATTCCAATGTGACAGTCAAAGATAACAAAATAAACTATCAAAATCCTTCATGTAACCAATTCTTTAAATTTTGCTTTTATTTTGAATCATTAGATTTTAATGTGGATGTCCCGAAGGAGTCCTCAATCTCAATGGTACTATGTGGGAATGTTAACCAAAAACAAATNACTGCACCCTTGTTCGCTTAGACGAGGTGCAAGCTGATTTAGCGCGATGCAAGCGCGCCATGGTTGGAAGGACCGACAGTAGCGTCGTTGAAAGCCAACGAATTGACATACCAAGGCCTAAAAGCTTTGGTGGCTCACGCAAGGCACAAGAGGTTGATAACTTCTTGTGGGGACTAGACAAGTACTTTGGGGCCGTAGGCGTCACGGAGGAAAGCTCAAGGATTGAAACTGCAGTCCTCTACCTTACAGACACTGCAAGGCTATGGTGGAGGAGAAGAGAAGGAGACATTGAAAAAGGTATTTGTACTATCTTTACCTTTAATGATTTTAAGAAAGAGCTTAGGCGGCAGTTTTACCCGGAAAATGCCGAGGATGAGGCAAGAGCTCGCTTGCGAAAGATCAAGCAAACAGGGACAATCCGTGATTACATCAAGGACTTCACCGACTTGATACTAAAGATCCCTGGGATGTCCGACAAAGATTCACTCTTCAACTTTATGGATGGGTTGCAGTCATGGGTAAAAACGGAGCTAAGGCGTCGGGGAGTGCGAGACCTTGCCACAGCCATAGCGGTTGCTGAGAGTTTGATTGATTATAGCAGCCAAAAAGAACACACCGGCAAGTCCAAAGAGAAGAAGGGTAGCTTTGCTAAAGGTGCGGGAGATAAGTGGCAATCTAAAGAGAGTTACCGAGACACCCGCCAATACAACTCCTCATCCAAGGGCAAGGACAAGGGCAAACGTTGGGAGAAGGGCTCCAACAAACCCTGCAACAACTGTTTCATTTGCAACGGGCCACATTGGGTGAAAGATTGTCCGGAGAAGAAAGCTCTCACTTCCCTCATTGCCAAGCATCAAGAGGGCAAGCAAGCCGAAAGCAGTAGCGATGGGGCACATATGGGATCAATGCAATTACTCAACGGGATCCAGTCCGCACCAAAAA